CACCAAAGTACACACCATCCTGATCTTCATAAATTCTACATACCACAGCCATGTTTTGGTTTGATTCCAAAACTCGCCCTACTAAATAATTGGCATTGTTGTCGAATGGACAACTGCGTCACGTCGAAGGACGTGGTTACTCAACAGTGTTGGAAAAGCAATAAATGTATTGATTGATAAAATTTTTGGGGATCCCCCATTACATGGCCCTGGGGGTCTATTTATAGCCTTAGCACAGGCTTACACCTTCTAGGATTTAGGTTTATAGGGGATTTTACATGGTTGCCCTTATAAAAGGGATATTTAAATGGGTACGCAGTGTCATTTGCATATATGGGCCTTTAATGGGCCGATAGGCTAGGCCTGGTCTATGGCGAAGGGGCCTTAAAGGTCGGGGGCGGCCTGTTGGGCCTCCTTGATGCCGAACTCGTCATGGCGAAGTCTTTGTGGTTCGCCATATGCCCTTCGCCCGAGATGCCTTTGCCCGAGAAGCCTTTACTTGCAGGGTACCGACGCGGCTTTCCAGCCTTCGCCATCTTCGCTTATGGCTTTCGCCATAGGGCTTCACCCAAGTGATCTTGACGGCTTTACAGTCTTCGCCACCTTCGCTTATGGCTTTCGCCATAGGGCTTCGCCCAAGTGGTCTTGACGGCTTTGGCTTGAATCCTTGCTGGTACTATGGTTTCGGCAGGTCCGGCCGAAGGGCTTCATGGCATGCCTCCAACAAGCCCCTCACGGGCAAGGGTGAGTAAGGAGCTTTGGCCGGGACCGTGCAAACTATACGGTATGGCATGAGGCGTCCCCTTTCGGCCGATGTTCCTGCCGAAACCTCTTTTTAGACTCCTGCAGAAAAAATATGAACACTGGCGTTCGCCTTTCGAGAATGGCGAAGCTGTATTATGACACTGGTTGATTATATTTTGCCAAGTTTGTCTGCTTTGCATGATTCTTGACTTGTATTTTTTCCTTCCCCTTTTCCCTATTGCTTTAGCGGGGATTTCGCCGAGACTCATGCGTTCGGCCCCCATTTGGGGATTGACGAAAAGATTTGTTGACTTTTCAGCTTTTGACTTCCGTTTTTGACTCGTAGCATTTTGCGCTAGGAAAAACGCTTGTGTTTTGCGTAAGTCGAATGTAACGGCGTTCGGTATCTTTATTCCGAAACTAGCTGTCGTGGTTTCAACGTTCGGCGAGCGATGCTTTGGCCGATTCGTTTTCGCCTTTTTATGGCGAAGCTGTAGCTTCTTTTCTTCTTTTTTTTTAAAGTATGTGCTTTCGCCTGATGGAGCTTATGTGTGTTTCAAATTTCTTTTTGCTAATGTTCGCATAGTCACTTTCGTGCTTTCGTTAGGTCGAAACATGTCGGCCCCTTTGCGTAATTTAGCGAAAAGATTTGTCGATTTTTCAGCCCTCATCATTCGCTCTCGACTTTTGGCATACGCGTCCAGAAACGCTTAAGTATTTGCATAAGTCGAGTATAGCGACGATCGGTATGTTTTCCGAAAACGAGCTGTCACGGTTTCAACGTTCGGCGAGCAGTGCTTCGGCCGGTTCGTATCGCACCCCCTGGCGTTTTCGTTGATCAAACGTTTGCCTTGGGGTTTTTCCACGAAATATCATACACAAAAAAGGCGAAGACACCCATGAATTTTTATATGTCCGAGCGCCAGTTTGCCATTGCCCAACGTCGATATAGCATAGTCCCCGTTTTTCCTTCTTCACTGCTTAAAAATTTTTGTTGATCTAACAACTAGCAATGAAGAAGATGCTCAAGGGGTAGTCCTTCGCCATTGAGGACAGCTTTTGCTGATGAATCGGATCTAAAGTCCGAATGTCTTTTGGCGGGCAATGGAATTTATCTGTAACTTGTGCTTTTTTGGCAAATAAATGTGGTGTGGTGCGTGTTACGGCTGTTCGGCTCGTACTTCCCCTTTTTGCCTTTGGTAAAGGTATTTTTAGGTACTTTGATCGTTTTGACCGTTGCCGGCATTCGGTCTTTTTGCACTTCGACCTTTTTAACCGTTACCGGCCTTCGGTCCTTTTAGGTACTTCGACCTTTTTAACCGTTGCCGGCTTTCTTCGTTTGCCTCCAGCGAAGATTACCCTTGGCGAATTAGCCCCCAGCCCTTGACGCCGTACCTCATTGGTATTGTGGCGAAGGGCCTGGGTGTGGCGAAACCTATTCGCCCCCAGCCCTTGACGCCGTACCTTATTGGTATTGTGGCGAAGGGCTTGGGGGTGGTGAAAGGTGTCCAGAGGCTTGGTTGGCTTCGCGGCCCCCATTTTCACCTCTGGACTTAACTCATTTTCGCACCCAGCCCTTGACGCCGTACCTTATTGGTACTGTGGCGAAGGGTGTGGGTGTGGCGAAAGGTGTCCAGAGGTTAGGTTGGCTTCGCGGCCCCCATTTTCACCTCTGGACTTAACTCATTTTCGCCCCCAGCCCTTGATGCCGTACCTTATTGGTATTGTGGCAAAGGGCTTGTGGCGAAGGGCTTGGGGGTGGCGAAAGGTGTCCAGAGGCTTGGTTGGCTTTGCGCCCCCGTTTTCACCTCTGGACTTAACTCATTTTCGCCCCCAGCCCTTGACGATGTACCTTATTGTTATTGTGGCGAAACCTATTCGCCCCCAGCCCTTGACGCCGTACCTTATTAGTACTGTGGCGAAGGGCTTGGGGGTGGCGAAAGGTGTCCAGAGGCTTGGTTGGCTTCGCGGCCCCTATTTTCACCTCTGGACTTAACTCATTTTCGCCCCCAGCCCTTGACGCCGTACCTTATTGGTACTGTGGCGAAGGGTGTGGGTGTGGCGAAAGTTATTCGCCCCCAGCCCTTGACGCCGTACCTTATTGGTACTGTGGCGAAGGGCCTGGCTGTGGCGAAACCTATTTGCCCCCAGCCCTTGGCGCCGTAACTCATTGGTATTGTGGCGAATGGCCTGGGTGTGGCGAAACCTTTTCGCCCCCAGCCCTTGACGCCGTACCTTATTGGTATTTTGGCGAAGGGCTTGGGTGTGGCGAAAGGTGTCCAGAGGCTTGGTTGGCTTCGCGGCCCCCATTTTCACCTCTGGACTTAACTCATTTTCGCCCCCAGCCCTTAACGCCATACCTTATTGGTATTGTGGCGAAGGGCCTGGGTGTGGCGAAAGGTCTCTTCGCCCACAGCCCTTGACGCCGTAGCTTATTGGTATTATGGCGAAGGGCGTGGGTGGGGCGAAAGGTGTCCAGAGCCTAGGTTGGCTTCGAAGCCCCCCCCCCCCCCTAGCTTGGACTCAACTAATTTTCGCCCCCAGCCTTTGACGCTGTACCTTATTGGTACTGTGGCGAAGGGTGTGGGTGTGGCGAAAGGTGTCCAGAGGCTAGGTTGGCTTCGAAGCCCCCTAGCTTGGACTTAACTAATTTTCACCCCCATCCCTTGACGCCGTACCTTATTGGTACTATGGCGAAGGGTGTGGGTGTGGCGAAAGGTGTCCAGAGGCTAGGTTGGCTTCGAAGCCCCCCAGCTTGGACTTAACTAATTTTCGTCCCCAGCCCTTGACGCCGTACCTTATTGGTACTGTGATGAAGGGTGTGGGTGTGGCGAAAGGTGTCCAGAGGCTAGGTTGGCTTCGAAGGCCCCCCCCCCAGCTTGGACTTAACTAATTTTCGCCCCCAGCCTTTGATGCCGTACCTTATTGGTACTGTGGCGAAGGGTGTGGGTGTGAAGAAAGGTGTCCAGAGGCTAGGTTGGCTTCGAAGCCCCCCAGCTTGGATTTAACTAATTTTCGCCCCCAGCCCTTGACGTCGTACCTTATTGGCACTATGGCGAAGGGCATGAGTCTGGTGAAACCTTTTCGCCCCTAGCCCTTGACGCCGTACCTCATTGGTATTTTGGCGAAGGGCTTGGGTGTGGCGAAACCTTTTCGCCCCCAGCCCTTGACGCCGTACCTTTTTGGTATTGTGGCGAAGGGCATGGTGTGGCGAAAAGGCTCCCTTTTCACCCTTTTGGTCTGGGTTCCCCACGGACGGCGCCAGCTGTTGTCAAATGGACAACTGCGTCACGTCGAAGGACGTGGTTACTCAACAGTGTTGGAAAAGCAATAAATGTATTGATTGATAAAATTTTTAGGGATCCCCCATTACATGGCCCTGGGGTCTATTTATAGCCTTAGCACAGGCTTACACCTTCTAGGATTTAGGTTTACAGGGGATTTTACATGGTTGCCCTTATAAAAGGGGTATTTAAATGGATACACAGTGTCATTTGCATATATGGGCCTTTAATGGGCCGATAGGCTAGGCCTGGTCTATGGCGAAGGGGCCTTAAAGGTCGGGGGCAGCCTGTTGGGCCTCCTTGATGGTTAACTCGTCATGGCGAAGTCTTTGTGGTTCGCCATACGCTCTTCGCCCGAGATGCCTTCGCCCGAGAAGCCTTTACTTGCAGGGTACCAACGCGGCTTTCTAGCCTTCGCCATCTTCGCTTATGGCTTTCGCCATAGGGCTTCGCCCAAGTGATCTTGACGGCTTTACAGTCTTCACCACCTTCGCTTATGGTTTTCGCCATAGGGCTTCGCCCAAGTGGTCTTGACGGCTTTACAATCTTCGCCACCTTCGTTTATGGCTTTCGCCATAGGGCTTCGCCCAAGTGGTCTTGACGGCTTTGGCTTGAATCCTTGCTGGTACTATGGTTTTGGCAGGTCCGGCCGAAGGGCTTCATGGCATGCCTCCAACAGGCATCTTCAATAATAACTCTTGTTTATTTGGATTGAAGCTGAATTTTGCCAAGTCAATATGGTTGTCTCTTCCTCCTGAAGTCACCTTCGGAAGATCAGGAATCTCAAGCGAGAAAAGCAATCATCTTCATCCACTTAGTGATTTCATGGTAGAATGATGTTCACAAAAAATTGTCACGTAGTTTGCTCCCTACAGATCGGGGTATCTTTCTCAAAATAATAATAAAAAAAACTAGGATGTGAAATTTGAAGACCGGGCTAAGTTCAAATATGGATAGAGGCGCGTTCAAGCATAAGAACAAAATGGCATGGTGGATGAATTATCAGTACCATAACAAATTACAGAGCAACATCTTATTATTATATCCTTGCAAGGATAGGCGATTCAATGATCAATTATTCACCTAGGGGCAAAGCAATTTTGACACTACAACAAACCTATTTTTGATCTTTTTGAATCAATCCATAATAATGGCACATCTGTGCCACGCATTTCCTGAGCTTAGTTCACAAATTCCACTTCAGTGATTGGCTCCCCTGAATGAAGCTTCAGGGCAACACCACCAACAACCTGCATCACAAGGTGGAGCAAACATGACAATAACAAAATGGTAACATAAATCGGCGGCGTCATGTTATACTGCAGACGATTGCTAAAACTTATATGACAATGCACTATGCACATGGAGTTGTTGTTGATGGTTTTACTATCCCTTTTATAGGTAAAATAATTCTATGCAGTAAAATGACATAGCATGCACAGCTCAGAAAGGGTTCAAGGTCCTACTAAATATAGTTTTAGGGTTACAAAAGTTAAAGCCTAAACGATGGATGGAGAGCTCGAGGGGATGTTGGTACTTAACTGAAGAATGATACGTTAAAATTAATAACTTTATACATGTATTAAAAGGAAGGCTTCGTTTTGTGCTATAATTGCAATGCTAATTGTGTTATGATAAGCTATGCCCAAACAATGAATAACTGTAGAAGTTGAGAATTAGATGAGAGTGAAGTAGCTATGGTCAATTCGGAGAAACAAGTGCGAACCTTTGCCATCGTCCTGTAAGAGTATTCCGTGACTCCAGCAATATGTGGGGTTATAATAACATTTGAGAACTTCAGAATTGGATCCTCTGGATCATATGGTTCCGTCCAAGCAACATCAATGCCCAAACCACCTAAATGGCCTGATTTCAGGTGATTAAACACAGCGTCGTAGTCCAGTAGACGTCCTCTAGCAATATTGACCAGATATGATCCCTGCAATACTACAACATTATTTTTTTTGATTGAATATAGTATAAAATTATTATCCAACATCATCATAGTATTGTATTGCAGTTAATAGTTCGTGTAAAAATATGCTCGTCTGACAGAACAAATTACAATGTCTGGGATTTTGGGTTATGGGTGCCCCAAAATCTGTGATTTTGTGAAATTTACTCTAGAATAAATGACAGAACAATACTTTACTGTTGAGTAGGATCAACTAGTCATTATGGAATTGGGAAAAAAAACCTGTAAGTATATGGTTACATGCACATACCTTTTTCATTGCAGAGAGGAACTTATGATCCACAATTCCAACCTGTAAATTTCATTATTTAGTAATCAAATTCAAGAGAGGTTTTCGAGCTGAAATAAAGAAATACACCAATAGAAGAATTAACTGTTTCATTTGTCAATAGCAAGCATGTTATAACTATGTCAGCCTCTCCAGCAAATTCATACATATCTTCTGGTCCACCTTTCTTATCGACCAATTCATCTATATCTGCACTAGCAATATGTTAGGAGAGGAGGAAAACAACAACTGTAAAAGACTGGGAGTAGTGACGCAAATACTGCAGCTCACCACATGGCAATGTATCAGATGACCAATTTCGTTTGGTAGCAAGAATTTTTACTCCAAAGGGTCTTAGCCTCTTGGCAATTTCTACTCCAATGGCTCCAAATCCCAAGATAAGGACCTATGTCGTAGAATAAATACAAATTACTAAACAAATGGAATTTTCACCATGTAAAGTGAAAAAAGAAAGTAACTCATACACAAAGAGCATACTGATTTTCCAAATATTGTATCTCCAACTGGAATGCCCAGGTCCTTACGTTTCACAGCAGTATCCATCACCTTCTGCAAGGTAAAACACATCCGAAATATTAGCAACCATTATAAGAAAGTAATAAATTATATTTATACAATAGCTACCAAATGATTAAATATAATAAGGTGAACTAAATCATAAAGAACTGTATAAATGTCCTGCATAAATATAAACCCCATCAACAAAAGCTATGCTTAATAGAGTCATCGTGCATGTTTAACCAGATTTTGGGAGCTTTGCATATTCTCTTACTACTGAGAATATAGGCTCAAAACACATGGCATCTTAACAGTCATGACAATGTATTGGTAAATTGGCAGTGGAAATTTTCGTCATCACTCAAAATAACAAAGGGTGGTCCAAAAAGGAAATATCACAGGAGGTAAACTAGATACTTTATACAAGAAATGAAGGCTCCTGTTTATTTGTTTTCCAAACTATAAGGTGCCTGAAACTCAAATTAAATAGTATTGGTCATTATAATTTTTCTTTGTTTATATAGAACATTAACAATTAAAATTTCATTTTACAACCAAGGTTTTAATGCTGCAGAGTGATTATCTGCTTGCTTGCTTCATTTTTGCATAAATCGTTTCATGTAAAAATTAAGTTGGTTATGCAAAAATTAAGTTGTGCAGATGACTATGCTTGCCAGTTTGACATGTTTAGATATTTTATCTGCATAAACAACTGAAAAATGGTCTAGTATTAGTGAGAAATGCTTCAGAAAAGATAAAACATAAAGAGTACATCCAAGCGGAAAAAAAATTGATCTTTTAAAAACATACTTGCTTCCTTAGGACACCCAGAGTAAGATAGATTGCCATTTCTGCACAAGAGACTGCATTTCCTGTTGTACTCCCAGGTATCCGTGCAACTTTAATCTTGTGTTCTGTAGCAGCATTTACATCGACACCTGCGAACAGTTGTATGCTCAATATCCAAGGAGGTAGTTGTGCCACTATATTTTCAAAATGGCAAGATAAACCTAGACTTATAATCACCTTCTAATCCAACACCATATTGCATAATGATCTTCATCTGACTTGCCTTGGCAATGGTATCTGAGTCTAGACGTCGATTTTTCACTACACATAAGTGGTAATTTTGAATAACATCAGGTACCTCCTCTAGACCTACTTCATCAACCTGAGAAAGTGCATTCAATTATGGTGAGATATAAACCCATAGATGCACATAGTAACATGTGACTCCAATTAAGATCATATCATCAAGACAATATGTATAAACTTGTCATCAAATGACTTCGCATATAAATATCCCAGAATTTTTTTCACAATAATTCAAATGGAGGATAGAACAATCAACCAGTGCATCACATACATGTTCTGTTCCATGTAACAACAACTTGCCAAAGTGAACATCATACCAGAACTCCGAGTCGAGTAATATGGAGCTCTTGCATAAAAGTGGTAATTTTGAATAACATAAGGTACCTCCTCTAGACGTGATATGTTCCCATCCCCGTTCATTTATTGTAGATCACATGCTTGATTTCAAAATGAAACAATATATTACAAGAGCGCTAAATATGTAAACAGAGTTGTCTGAATCTGTGTAGTGACACAGATCTTAACTTCTGATAGCTAACAGAAGATGAATAGATGTGAGTTAAAAAAGTTTAAGATCAGTTATAAAGCTATTTTAGTCCACACCAAACTAAAAATAGATGTATCAGCTAAATTCACATGAATCCCGGAATTTCACTGCTCATCAAGGATGCAAGGTAGATATAAAAAAGAGCAACTAGCCTGAATAAATGGATAGCTCTGCAAATACTCCTTGGTGAAGCTGGTAGAAGCAGGCCAATAAGGTCCACAGAATAAAACCCGCGTAATATCGCCAGAGCCGCTCCTTTGAATTGAATCTGCCATGCTTGAAAAACCTGCAATCAAAAGAGAAAGACATTTGTAACAAGGGTTAAAAGTTGTGTATACAAAAATAATTGAACAGAGACAAACAGAGCAACAAAAAAAAAAGATGGATGCAGTATTGGTGAAGAAAAGACAAGATCACCAAGATAGTGGAATCAAGTCAATGAAATGAGGGTATCCAAGGTCTGATTGACCTACTGAGAAGAAAAAAAAAACGATAGGATTCCCTTTTTTTTCTGCGGGGACCCAGGATTCCCATATGGCCATATATTTAGTCAATTAATTTATGTTCAACTCTGTGTATCCGATTCAAACGTGCCATGCCATCCATGGCCGCTTGACCACTGTCACTGACACAATGCCACAAACTAGTCTGTCTGCACTGACCAAATCCTTCATTCCAATCAAACATAGATCACTTTGGAGCCAAAGAAATTATCAAGAATAACTGAAATGTTCAGTCTCCAATTGCACAAGATCTCTTGTAGCACACACGGATTTCCCTTCCCATCTCGCCATGCTACTTGGGATGATACCCAAATGGCAAAGCCACCCTCTGATCATTCACTGGCCCGACTGTTCCCCCCCAAAACCCATCCAATTTCATCACCCCCAACCCCAAACAAACCATCCACAAATCCATCTATCCGAAGACGAAGCAAACACCATGGGAAACAGCCACCCACACCCCACAGGGAACAAACAGAGGCGACGACGGCGGAAGTTGGCTAAGAGGGAGGAGGGAGGGAGGAGACATACCACGCGGCGAGGAGGCGAGAAGGTCGGGGCGGCGCGCGGCGGCGGCGAGGGAGGAGGAGGAGCGCGCGAGAGTGGTGGAGACGAGTCTGGCAGCGGCGGCCATAGTGGTGGAGTTAGACCGAGACCGAGTGGGTTGGTTGGGCGCGGGCGCGGGTGGCGTCACCGCTGCCGCCTGGTAGTACGCCAGCGTTCCAGCTGTTTATGTTTGGCCAGATACTCTCGGGGGGGTTTTTCGATATTCGCACGCAGCAACGGGGGGCCACGGGGCGGTGTTCCGCGCATTGGGGAGGAGAGATTTATACTACTATGCAGCAAGGGATCAACTACAGGTCGCGAGTGACAATTATTAATAATATTTTGAATCCATCTTTACCAATTATTAATTATAAAATTATATACGTCTCTGTTCAATTATTAAAGATCCGTATGGGTTGTTGGCACTGGCAGTGCAGCTGATTGCCCCCACGCATCCCACGCTAAACCTTATACTAGTATAATACTATACATGTCTTATTCAGTTTACTGCCATTTGATTTTGATTGTTTACTTGTTACCTTTCTTATAAAATATAATAATTTTATTGCCAGATAAAATCTTATATTATAATATATAAGTTTGTAGTAGTAGGATACGTCTCATCTGATACTCATAGTTATTAGGATTGGATCGGATCGGACCAATAATGCGACTGAGAAAAACCGTAACTAGGACCTCGGCCAATGCAACCCGCTTAAAAGTTGAACCATGTATCTAGATCAGAGAAAACCAGTTGAACCACCGGTATTTTTTTTAGAAACTGATTGTTCAACCGAGCAAGTGGGCGCATGGAAGAGGCAATATGGGGAAGAAAATCTTAAAAAGCATGCATGATAGGGTTTCGGACTTCGGACCACCCACCTCGTGCAATACACGCGCTCCCACCACTAGGCCTTACATCTATTGCTTACTTTGGCATATGATTTATTTTATTTGACCTAGGTTCCGTTGAACCATTGGTCCGACCAAGCAAACCGTCAACTTTGGGTGGTTTAATGTCCGATCCGGCTCTAACAACCGAGCCGATACTAGGTTGCTAAATTATGTGACAGAGGAAGTAGTAAAAATAACATGACAAGATCCTATGGAACAAATGCAAGTTTTTCTCATGGTTAATCATTCAAAACAGTGTGGACAGTGGATAGGCTACACGTGATAGGTTGGCCAAACCAGCAAATATGCCCTTTGTGCGGAGCAATCGATGAATCCACCATCCATCTTCTAGCTGAATGCAGGCTCTCGCGGAGAATCTAGGAAGTGGTAGGCAATTGGGTCCAAGTTCAGATCTTCACACCAAGTTGGACTATAGTTGCAAAACCATGGAAGAATGGTGGCAAGCAGCCCTAGCTATGCCTAACATACCGAAGAAACCCAATGACGTATCTAGGATTTAGAATATGGGCGGTCCAACTTAAAATTTTTTTTTCTAAACACCGTAAATGTAACGATGCTAATATATACAATATAAGTATAGATAATAAAATATACCAAAAAGTGTACCATGACGAAAAACGGTGGTGGAAGCGGCGAGATGTCTTCCTCATCTTGTCTTGCGTGTGCTCTTTTATCACAACCGAGAAAGAAGACAATTTAGAAGCATTCTTCTTTGCTACGTGTTTTCGAAAAAGAGAGACAATATGTGTATCTTTCTTCATGATTCAACGATCAGCAATCTGCGATAAGTATAATTTATTATCACAATGCATAAGAGTTAAAAGTTAAAACTGAAAATTAAAAAAAGCAGGATACCAACAGCAGCACAAACGCACCTCATAAAAACCTTGGAATGGCTCAAGGCGTCAAGGGGCATGCACATCCCAGCACTCTTAGAAAAGATGAAACATACTTTTTGGGCAGTAGAGGTGCACATAGAAGGATATGCATGGTGGAGCTTCAGTCTGTTTTGAGTCTTTTTTCACTGATTTTAAGCCGATGCATCAGAAGAAAGCCTACGATGAGTCGGATGATGAGACAATGAGAAGAGGAGTCACCTCACCGTCGCCTAGTCGAGGTCAGCAGGTCGTACCGGCGTGCCGACGGCCGGCGCCGTTGTGGTCTCGCGCCGACGGGAGACGTTGGATGCGGGACGGCGGCGCGCGTGGACTCAATCGGAACGATGGGATTGTATCTTGCTGGCCTGTTGTTGCTTGCTGTGTAATTCGCCGATTAGATCGCTAGGTTAGTTGCGAGACGCGGGCGGTGGGATCTATCGCGCGACCCAAAAACCCTACGACGACAGCGGTGCGACGCTTCGCATTAGTTTTTCTTTTTTATAAATTTGTATATTTAGGCCCTGTTTCTTTTAGATTAGGATTATTATAATCTAGATTGTTCAGTCAGATTACTAGCAACTAGATTGTTATAATCGTAGTAGAGAATAAGTGGTTAGTTGTTTCTTTCCTAGATTATTAGAGCCTAGATTATTGGGTTTGCAAGTCTAAAGAGGGAGTGGAGTGGCATGGTGGGTAATTTTTCACCCAATAATCTGGAAAAAGCTCACCTAAATGAGCTTATCAAATTATAATAAGCTGGGCTCCAGATTATAATAAGCTACTTCAATAATTTATCTGTTTCTTTCAGCTTACTCCCAATAATCTGGATTATAATAATCCCAAGTTGAAAGAAAATGACCTTAGTATATGCGGCGATTTTTTTTGGTCCGGGTACCTACAGATCCGCCATTAGAACGAGAATACTTTAACTCGGGCGACCGGCGCGGGGGAGCCGGATCGGGCGCTCCCCCGCACGCCCCTCCTCCACGTGCACACCTGTTGGGTCCACCCACTTCTCCCTCCCATTTTTCCACGAAAGATGTTTCACATAGTGTATTTACAATGTTTCACTATTTATAGATCTAATGTTGTAGTGAATTAAAATACTCTTTTGCAACAAAAAAACCCACATATTTTAGAAACTCTTTATTAAGGGAATTTGGTTTATTTTTTGTTCCACAAAAAATATTTCACCTAGTGTACTCACAATGTTTCACTATGTATAGATCTAATGTTGCAGTGAACGAAACATTCCATTGCAACAAAAAAACCCACATATTTTGAAACCCCTTATTAAGGGAATTTGGTTTATTTTTTGTTCCACCGAAAAATGTTTCACCTAGTGTACTCACAATGTTTCACTATGTATAGATCTAATGTTGCAGTGAATTGAAACATTCTTTCACTATTTATTGAAACATTGTTTTTATATAAGGTGAAACAACACCCGATTTAAACGAGTGAAACATTTTCGATCTACTTAGTGAAATAATTCCGATATATCTTGTGGAACATCGTGTAACATTTAAAAATAATTCAATAATAAGATAAAATTTTTTTCATCGGAATATATCCATGTGTGGTCTTATTTTGAAGATTTAATTGCAACGAATTAAATGGTGCAATCGGATCATGATTTGGATAAGTAATTTAAGAGAAAAATCAGATTAAAATAGTTTTGCACGTAAATTGGTCGTTGACATCATGTTGACGTCAGCGCCCGATTTTAACATCCTCCCATCGGACGACCGAGCAGGAGTCACGTCCCCATTAGAAACCCCTAATGACGTTGGTCATTCTACTTAGTGCTGTGGTGAAGCCAGGATTTAGAGATGGGGGGTGACATCTACGAGACGTGGGAACTCACTTACCGTTCAATGAATAGTGATTTTGTAACGTTTATTCGTGGTCGGCAACTAGGCATCATGCATGTTACAATGATTAGCTAAAAGAGAAAACTAGAACCCATAGATTATGATTTCCCAATTTATCAATAATATTTTTAAAATACTAGTGAGCGTGCACGTAAGGCACGTTGATACATAGAATTGAAGAAAATACCGTTATTGCTGATCATTTACTGATACATCATTAAAAAATCATAGAGGAACCAAGTAAAAATAACATTATTGTAAGCAATACATTGGCAATTCATGAAATAAACCTTACTTGTTTATTTATTACATAACAACCAAATGCAAAAAAAATGTAATATTTATTTGTCATCATCGATTTCATATTCACTTCGAAATCAGTCCCTCTCAGGAGATGAGGTAGTGTCAGTGCCGCTCGGTTCAAGATTGATTGCCCTACATCCTAAGGCAATCTTGACCTGATCGAGGAGGATGATATCGTTTATTAGGTCGTCTCGAACATCTAGATGCACATGTATATAATATGATGCATTTAGTATTATGTTAGTTTGTACATTGAAGCAGAAGAAATAAAATACGTATATGTATCTAGAAGAGGACCGTACATCCCACTATCTGGCCATAGCGCAATGGTAATGGTTGTATTGATCCTACTGATCAGACTTTCTAAAAATTGGGTATAGATGATTTATGAAGAATTTTATAGAATAAATATACGTATATAGACATGTACGTACCCATGTGCAACGGGAACAATATTTAACTTTTTCAGAAATTTTATGATTGAGCAAACACTCAAATTTTATAATTTGCCTGCAAAAGCAATATATGTATAATGCTATCGTTTTTCTCTCCTTTTTTGTTGTCAATTGAACTCCATTAGCCTTAAAAAAAGAAATCATTTTGCTCCTAAAATGTGACCTACACTAACCTAGACAAGATTAAGTTCCTTTTTTAATTGCCATTGAAATAACGTCTTGAGTTTATTTTAGGCATCATAAAAAATCAAATAGCTAATGCAATGGAAGTTAATTGATGACAATTGTAAAATGTAAAAAAGATACTTGTATGATGACGCTCTGTAGAACTTGTGCTGACCAAAAGTCGTAGAATCAAACTTTTTTTTTATAATAAGCAAGAATCATCTCTTCTAAAAAAATCTTTGCATGTAATTTTTCTTCCATTGTTTCCGTTCACTCATTATTGCTCCCTTACAAGCAAAGAATGATGCTCAAGCATTTCAAAATCCCACACATTTCAAAGTCCCAGATGATATTAACAAGTTTAACACCAAGATATAGTTAACAGTTTTTCAGCTTTGTATTAGTAATGCCTCAAAAAGGAATGAGACAATCCTACAATTACTAACCAGTGAAGTGTATTTACACCCATCAACCTGTGCTTAGATGGAGTTTTTCACTTTAGTCTATTCATAAATCAAGGGAATTGAATTGCATAATTCAGAATCACTGACCTCAAATTTCTTCTGCCGGATGTACCCCTTAACAACTCCAGAAACTCTGAATCGATTTAGGCATCTATCTCTGTTTAGTTAAAGCGAGTGACTGTATATAGAGTTTCAAAACAAAACCCAACATAGCCTGTCACAGAACTGAAAAATGAAACAAAATGACCGTACATCAAAAACTCGATCAATTGGGTACAATTATGTTAAACATTATTCCGAAATATGAATCCTCCATGTTTTTCCTTTGCAGCAAAATAATATTAGGTATTGAATTACTGAAATATGCTCCAAGAGGATATCTTCTGCATGATGGACATGTAATAATCGGTAGAAACTCTGGAGATTAATTTAATACAGCAAACAATAGTGGAGATGCATAAAACTTGGGTAAACAATAGTTCAGTTAGTTAAGGGAACCAAGAATATGATTGTGTAAAAAATTAGTGCTGACATTTTGTAAAAACATCACCCCTTACATTTTAGGAACATGTCTAAAATCAGTACTGACAAAAACAAACTAAATACAGGGGAAACAGCCAACAGACAGTCGCACTGTAGCACTATTTTTCTCTAATTTTGTTCTTAAAAACTGTTTGATCTTCTGTGATGCTCTGAACATCAGTAGTTGCAGCCAAGATCCTCAACAAGACAACAAGACAATTAATGGACAAAAAGATAGTTTGCTGCCGATACATAGAATATTTGCTTAAAAAAAGACATATGATTGTGTGGGATAACTTTGTATTTACTACAAAATAATTTTGTGTCAGCCGGTTACCTTCGTTGGGCGACATTGATCCATCACAAAAAGCAAAAATACATTAATCAATTATTCAGTGGCTCTCCAAATCTGCACACAAAAGTATTCAGAAAAATATCTGGCTCTCCAAATCCGCTCGCTAATGGAGTTTGACTGCAATTTAAGGCCAGTTCATGCACCAATAAAGCATTCCATGCATGAATTACATCCATCCACCATTCATATACTTGAAGAAATAGGGCTAATTGAAAAGAGAATGAACAATAGAATCGGTTCGAATTAAGCTTTTTATGTTTGAAGTTCAGCACAAACATATTCATCTCCCTATTCAGGTATCTATTTACGCAATATATAAGTAGTAAATCTAGATAACAGGGTTGTTGCTAAATGGGAACAATTAGCGAGCGGTAGCATTATTTGTTTTGAGAAGCAATATATAATTAATAACATAGATGTAATCCGAGACAATTATATGTTGCTAGCCAGTATAGTACTGTTTTGGTGCTGCAAAATTACCTTGGAGCAAACAGTATCCTGCTGCCTGTTCATGTCCATTGGTACTGCCCTACAAAATCAATTGGAAGCAAGATCTACTGCAAAAAGGAAAATGTAATTGCAGGAGAACAGAGATTGGCCAACTCACAGCATGGTTTCTTGGTCCTTGATTGGGTATATCATATTATCCTCCATCCTCTGATTGAACCAAAAAACAAATTCCCACTCAAATCTAAGAAACATAACCATATATCAACCCCAAATCAAATGAAGTCCCAAATCCAGCTATACAAGAGCAACACAAATTTGTTGGATCTGTAGAACTAACATCTAAGGGCATTGTGTTAGAAATAGCCTCCTAAATTTAGATTGCGGCAGCCAAGAAAACATATATGACACAAGCTTCACGATGACCATTTGGGAGCTAGATGCCATTCTGCAACTGAATTTGTCAAGGATAGTACTGTGGTCAGATATTTGAACCTGAAACCTACAGTGCACAATGCCAAAGTTGAAGCTGAAACTTCTTACCTAAGCAGCAGCACGTTGCAGGCCCATCAGATGTTGTTTTGCAAAGTTTCAGTGTAGCCTTATAGTGAGTAATAGTATATGTACTACTGAAATTATTTTGAGTAATAATGTAGTATTGAAATAGTGAGAGCAAAGCACTATATGAGTTAGCATCAACACTCCAGATATTATGTAGTGAATCAGGCCACAAGATCATCCAAAGTTAATCAGAAGGATGAAAATAGTATATACCTTATGAATTCAGACTCGATTCAGATATTATTTGAGATATTGGTCCATTGCTCTTTTATGGTGAACAGCCTAAACCAAACTTGCTACCCACCTATCTTGAGACCTATTGAGCACATGGATGGCTTCTCCACCTGATGACTTGAAAATACAATAATATAACCAAAGCAACAAAAAATTAGGCCCAATATGTTATAGCTAAAGATGATTAGCAAAGAAACCTTGATGGATTTATCGACCTGCTAGTAAATTTAGGCAACCTTGATGGTTGGCAATGGAAAGGCCATGAGGCACAGGCGTGCGATGATGCTCATCAGACCGTGCGTGATGGCGGAAGGCGGAAGTGTCCGGATTCGTTGTGGTGAAGGCGACCTGATCTTCTCGGCCTCATCAGTGGAGCGGCATGGCATCAGGCATTGACCGTCGGCAATGTGGCCAAGCACCATGGGAAAACCTTTGTACTAATTAACAGAAACAATTATGGATTTAAAAAATCTTAACAATGTGAGTAAGGTAGGAGACTATTTTTTGAATAAAGACATGAGTTTTGTCCATTATATTGAGAAGAAGTTGATCATAGATACTACACTCAGATTGCATTGGAGACAAAACCAAACTTCTGCAGGGGCAAATTTGCTCCCATACATTGACACTGAAATATCAATCTTTTTACTAAATGGCTTGTGATTTCGTAAGCTCCATTGCACACATATAGTAAGTTGTGCATCCGCTATCAATTTATATTACAAAAATCCTAAGTTGATTTTAGAGGGGCATCAAACATAGAGAATGACTTCAGTGGAGGAGCTAATTGGCTATGGAGTATAGGGATTCCACTTACCGCTGCTTCATCGTTAAACTCCAGTCTCCGCTGGCCTTCGTGAGCCATTAACTTTTTACCTCTTCGCCCACAGTTGTCCGGCTGGAACTCAATATAAATTCACCTTTGTCTTAGACAGGAGCAGCGAGGGAGACGTGATCCAGATGAGTTTGCGAAGGGGGCAGCGAGGAGTCGCGGTGGCGGCGCGGCCGGACAGCAGGAGATCCGGTGCCGGCGCTAGGCTGATGCGGGTCGACGGAAACCAGACGGCGAGGGATCGACGGTGGCCGGACTGCGTGGGATCGACGGCGAGGTGCGGTGCAGACACAAGGGCGAAGCGGCTTGACGGAGACTAGACGACGATGTATCGACGGCACCCTGACAGCGGGGATCCGGCAACGGCGCGAGGCGGCGAGGGAGAGCCAGCGGGGTGGTGCTGGAAGGGCAGCGGCGGAGCGGGCGCGGGGAGGACAGCGCTGGCGCACGGCGTTGAGAGGACGGCGCGCTGCGCGGGCGCGGAGTGCAGCGGCGGAGGAAGCGGGCGCGGGTATGGCATCGCCGGCGCGCGGTGTGGGGAGAAGCAGCGGAGTGGAGAGGTGGTTTGTTCCCTTCTCTCTCTCATCGGAAGGGGGGAAACTATCGCTGTAACCGCAGATTAGGTGGGATCGCTAATTGCAGAGATGATCCAATATTTAAGGGTCAGAAAAGACTGATGTTTGATGAATTGGTGTTTTTTATATTAGTTTTGGCTTTTTTATATTAGTCTAGATGAATGATTGAACAATTTGTTTCATGATTTTAATTGGAGTCTTGCAATCACTTCTGAAATGATGAATCAGTTAGCTAAGTTATTTCAGAAGTCCTATATAGTTAGGCAGCTGTCCTATACGGTCAATCTTATCCGTAACTAATGGTGTAATTAATGGCTAGATTATACGGACTAATTACTCTGGGAGAAGAGAGGGGAGGGGAGGTCGCATAGGGGTTGGGGGGGGGGGCGCTTCGCCACTGTCCTAGTCACTTGTGTGCTCTGGAACGAGCGAAATGGTAGGATTTTCAGGTGGTGTTTAGATCCAGGGACTTAACTTTAGTCCCTGTCTTTAGACACTAATTTAGAGTATTAAATATAGACTACTTACAAAACTAATTACATAAATAAAAGCTAATTCACGAGATAAATTTTTTAAGCCTAATTAATCTATAATTAGAGAATGTTTACTGTAGCATCACATAGGCTAATCATGGATTAATTAGGCTCATTAGATTCGTCTCGCAAATTAGTCCAAGATTATGGATGGGTTTTATTAATAGTCTACGTTTAATATTTATAATTAATTTTCAAACATCCGATGTGATAGGGACTTAAAAGTTTCCCATCTGAACAGGGCCTCAATCACATCATGCGAACTCCAACGACGCTTTTGGTGACGATCAAAGAAATGGCCCGCATGTGGTTCTAGGCGGGTGCAAGCAAGCTAGCAGAGTTATATGCCGTTGGGTGAATAAGTAAATTGTCATAAAGCACTGGAACTTTTAACAGGCGCGTGTTGTAAAACTCCTTCTTTATCAATATAAAAATGTCATATGCTGAATCTCATTTTTCTTGAACCTTAACTTTGTGATGGTTTGAGGAGCGGCTGATTTAGTCATCCCTCGTCAAGCAAATATGCCTATAATTTTACTCGACCAGTGACTTTCTTTTATTATATTTGTTGCATACTAAGTTGCGCTTTTTTTTTCCAATAGTAGGATTGATTTTGGATTTTTTTTTTAAAGTAACGTTTCTTTTTCCATTTTGCAAGAATAAACCACTCCGCCCATCCAACTGCACAACATTGGCTTAGCTTAGGACATGTTCATTGCTAAAGATAAATATGGTATTTTAGATAATACATGATTATTTAAACACCGTATCTCTAGAACAAATAAGACCATAAATGCTCTAACTATTCAATTATAAAACATTTATTTTATTACTATCTTTCCATTTTTTTCACGTTTATGCGATCATGTTTTCATATCATATACAGAGGCTAAGGCTGTTTGGGAAGCTTCTTAACTGCTTTAGCTTCTCCTAAAATCAGAAGCTCTCTCAAATAGTCTAGTTTTTTTTTGTCCAGATTCTGAGAAGCTACAGTTATAGCATCCAGAAAATGAACTAGAAGCCAGAAGCTGGGAAACCCAACTCTTTTCCAGATTCTTAAAAACTGGGTACCAACCAGCTGTTTTTCAGAATCTTAAACTCCCCCAAACATGCCCTAAGAGCACCCGCAATGGTAAAGTAAGGTGCTATCTATAAAACATGTACATCTAAGCAATAGACTGATTAATAGTAAACCATCTCAATAATATGTCTACATGGGTATCTATAGCTCTCTAATACATTGTCTCGTTTTTCTCTATAGACTATCTCCAGGTTAGTAGATAGCTTTGTTCTCTCTCTTCATTTAATCTCTTCAAAGTAGGAAAATATACTGATATGGATCTCTTATAGAGAGCCTATAGATAACCATTGTGGGTGTCCTAAGAGTTGTTGAGCAGTTGCTACCCATAACGTCGATGTTTTATGAGCCTCTTCCTCTCTCTTCCATATCAACAAATACTCTTAATTAGCAACTTTAAGAGACTTCTGGTAGCCACCATCGTACATGTCCTTGGGTCATAAGTACGCTTATTATCAATCGTCAAAAGGGCAACATCGTCCCATTAGGCTTGTTGGAACTTGGAAGGGCTCAGTCGTCCTCTCGGATCCAGAGAGTTATATAAGTATACCTATCTATCTATCTATCTTCTATCTATTATATGCTAAAAGTCCATAAAACTTCCTACAAACGCTCTTAAGCCGCCACGTGGCACTCCTACAAACGCTCCTAAGCCGCCACAGGGCACAATCTAATCTCACCGTCGATTTTCACTTAAATTGGTGGACTCGTTATTGTAGGCCATTAGATCAGATCTATTATTAAAAAATAATTACTATTGCATTGTTTATAACATACGAGCGTTGTCTGTATGTATGATTTTGTACGATACAAATACTACTGCTGTTCTTCCCGTATGTATACAAACGTACATGATTGTGAAAACAAACGATAAAATTTCCTAATCTTCGCTGGAAGAAAACAAATACACATGTATACATAAAAAAGACAGAGAATTTATATATGCATTCATAAAAATCAACGGTCTTTTTAAAATATGATTTTCTATAATATAAAGATAAAATATATTACTTCACAAATATCAATATGTTTAGTTAAATTAAGATCTATAATAAATATTTAATCAATGTTCCTTTAAACCATCTTCTAAATCAATCTATTATATACTAAAATTATATTAAACTTTGTACAAACGCTTTTACATCGCTATGTGGCTCTCAAATAAATTAGAGAAATTATTGAAATCTTTTATATACTAAAAGTCTATTATATACCTGCAAACGCTCCTACATTGTCACGTAGCGCTCTAATAAAATTAGAGAGAATCCAAAATGTTTAGAGTAAAAAAAGAAAAGCATCCAACCTTATATTTTTCACTTAAATTAGTAGACCCGTTATTTTAAACATTAGATTAGAGCTCTTAAAATTCCCATGCCGCTAATCTCTATCCCGGGAAAAAAAAACATAAAGTGCTTATGTCGTACGATCGTGTCCCTCCAAAAAAACAAAACTTAAATACCTGCATTATATACGATCGAAAAAACAGTTAAAGCCAAAAAAATAAAAAAGAAAACATGCACTAGAATACTAATAAGGAAAAATCATCGGTGCCAGCACTGATTTGTTGTCAACAGCCTTTAATCTACGATTTTATTAAAATAATACTACACAGTTAAATTTAATCATAAACTTATTATAGTGATAAATATATCATGACAAATGACACCAGCATGTAATAGCAAATGCAATAATAATATTTCAAATAATTTCATATCATATTTTATGGTGTCAAATATCACAAATATAAAGCGTTAACTTGAATCTACATATGTAATAATTAAAATAACAAAACCTAGCATTTTTTTAAGTACATCTATTTAGGTTTATTTAAGTTTGGAGAGATTGAGATTCTCAAAGTATTTGGAATTTTTTCAAAACTTTTCTTATTTGAGCTGTGAGAAGCATAATTAATAGAATGATGAGAAACATTAAATTAAATTTTAGCAAGTGATAATAAAACAACATAATTTAGATGTGATTTTTAAGTGGATCTTTTTAAGTTTATTTTGGGTGAGATTGAGATTCTAAAAGTATCTGAAATTTTTCAAAACTTTTTTATTGCTCTTTGAGGAGTGAGAAGCATACATGATAGATAGTTAATTTGCTACAATACAACCCTTAATTCATAACAAGAATTATGTATTTTCTTTGCCAAGTAGTATTAGAAAAACATGAATAATCCAATAAAATACGCATAAAACTACTTATGTAATATTTTTTATAGTTGATAAAGATTCTAATATACCGGGTATAATTGATGGACAAATGTTATACACCACGTAACCCAACTGTAAGTGCACTCTAGTGAATTATTTAATGTAAATAAGTTTGTGAAAATAAGTACATTCTTAGTATTAGTAAATGAGTCTCGTATTCTTAGTATTAGTAAATGACTCTCGTATGGTTGCTTACAACATATGGTGGAAACAAATTTAGCGCTAAAGTATAAATCTTTATCAAAATATAAATAATGATATGGTGTTTTGCATATTCTCATGGTGGTGTGTCTCTTTAGCTATAGTTTTTATTAAGTAGTGTCAAATGATTAACCCCACTCATTTGAAATACATAATATTATATGTATTCCATTAAAATTTGAGAAGTACTTATTACTAACTTTATATGAAAAAAATGCATTTTCATCACCTCCTCCTTTCTGTCCCTCTGTCCTTGAATGCAGGGTGTAGTACTTGCTATGCCATCATAAATATTGTATGGGTATGTACATGGTTGAGTTAAGGTGGTGTCCGTGAAAGGCCACCATAGGCAGTGTAACTAAAGTGACATACTTACCATATAATTATTTGTGAGTGTACTGATAGTAAACTAAGTGTTAAAATTGTACTCTAGGATGGTTTTTAGGGGTATGGCTACATCGATGCGGAACCTATATGTTTCAAGGCATTACATACAAAAGCCTTCGTTCGCAGATACAATCGACTTCATCCATTAGAGAGGCATTCATGATTATTTTAAACAGAGTTATCGTATTATTCGGTAGATATGATATATTTAGACTATTTATATATAGATGCGAAAATAAG